TCCATATCATGTTGAAATACTGGTTATCATACAATCACCAAAGTTAAGCAACATCAAGCCTGGTCAGTATCTAGATGGGTGACTGCTTGGGAATATCAGGTGCTGTAAGCTTGGATGAGATGGTTGTGTAATGGGCTCACATCCATATCATGTTGAGATACTGGTTATCATACAATCACCAAAGTTAAGCAACATCAAGCCTGGTCAATATCTAGATAGATGACTGCTTGGGAATACCAGCATCCTTGGATGTGCAAATGGTGTAATGTATAATGGCTCAGAATTTGAAACCGAACACCCGAATTCCAATTCCAGTTGTGTTAGTTATATTTACTTATGTGCAAATACTCCTGGGAAAAGTACGAATCCACCTCTTCGACCATCGGCTATGGATTAATCAGTAAGACTTGTAACAGTAAATCATTATCTCCAAAAATGCTTACAATCTAAAAACATTTTCTGGCTTTAAATAACCTGTACAAGGTTGATAAACCATAAAATAAACAAACAAATCAATCTTCATAATATTCTAAACCTTTTGAAGGCTTAACAATTTTCAGTTCAAATAATTATAACTTGATACCATGAATAACTTTGATAATCACCTGTATACAACAACTGTTTTCTCAGATGAAAATACTTCATTCAAATAAAATGTTTCTAATCTTAAAAGATTATCCTTCATCAGAGCCTATATATTACTGCTACAGAATTATGAAAACAGTTTTACCAAATAACAAAAACCACATCACCTGAAAACTTCCAACAACAACAATAAAAATGGTTATCATGTGTAACTAGAAAGGAAAATAATTATATAATCATATTGTTTACTTTACACACTACCTTATGCAAAAGGTTAGGAAGGAAACTCCCAATTACTATAAAGAGCAGTAACAGTGAACATGAAAAATTTAATTTTCTAAAAAAACTGTTTTAAGGGAAAGATTTTATAAATTTCAATGACCAGTAACATTGTTTGGTTAGTGAATACTGAAAGTTTCTGGGATGGAAATGGTTCAATTTCTCTTCACCATCAAACTTCCATATTCAAAAAGTATTTTTGATTCTGTGTTTAGTACTGGATATAAAGCATATATGGTTTTTTTATTTGATATTTATTATTTCATTATGTATTTTTATCAATATTTTTTTATCTTCTTGAAATCAAAAAAGCTTTAAAGTCTTTCTACTTGGAGAAATTCAAACCAAAGTAAATTTTGGCAGGTAAAGTTCAAATTCTAGCCAAGGTTTATTTATATAATTTACTAATATCCACTTCTTTGTTGTTATCATGATTCAGCTCTTGCACTTATGGTGGTTGCTATCTTATGACAATGTCCTTTCCTACCATAGATCTTATATGGTCTTCAGTAAGGATTGAAATAAAATGCACACACAGTTAATATATACAAAATAAATGTTTATGTAACACAATATATATATACAGAAGAATAGTGATATTTCCTATTAATTTGTTTAAAACTGTGCCTTTGTTTGTATCTGTTATTATGTTTGATTATCTTACTTATTAGCTTCTTTTGATCATAAACATTCACGTGCAATATTAATAAACGTTTTGTGTGCTCAATTCTGGGATTTTTACTAAACCTTTCTAATAATTTGGCACGCTCAAATCACTGTGCTGATAACAAATATGGCGCCAGTTTGTTTACATTGCACAGATCAGTACAAAAATTTCAGTGATTGCGCAGGTCAGTGTTGCCAACATTGTGTGAAAATTTTGTATGAATTGATTGGACAGTTTTTTAAATATTATAAAAAAAGTTATCTCGATAATAATTTGGCATGCAGTGTGTATATATATATATATATATATATATATAATTGGTGACTCTAGGTTATCAATGTTTGTCTGACTCATTACAATCTTTACCAAAATATACTATTGGTATAACTTAGATGGTAAAATGATTCCTTTACTCTAACTAAAATATATATAATTTTTTTTTTTTAGCCAGATATGATGTTTTATTTTTTTAAAAAAAAAAAATAACCTGTTTGTATATATGTCTATGCATCAGTGTGTTTATGTATCTCACTGTCTGTGAATTTTTAGTTTAGTTTATTGTACACGTTTATGATCAGTACTGCTGACTGATATCATATTTCCTCAATACTACCCCAGTCACATTCCTCACTCCAAACCTCCAGTCAACGAGTTAAGGCTGCCACTTTCTTTAGCTTTCACTGACTTAAGTGGGGCTAAATTTAATTTGCCCCTTTTTTAATTGATGCATTGTGCTAAAAAACTTATACCTTATTTAAAATGGACATTTGAAAACAATAAGTTGAAATAAAAATGTTCTTTGAAAAACAGGGCATACAAGTTATTAGAGATTTTTAAAAGATTATTTATAAAATTAAAGCAAGAAATACATTGCCTATTAAGTATGTCTGCAACTCAGATAGTGTTCAGATCTACATAGCCTGACTAGCCATGTTAATTTTATTTCAGTCTTTTTTACTTTCTGTCTTTCTTTTTTTTTCTTTCTTCTTTATTATGAACAATATCAACAAAATGTATTTCAATCAATATTATGAGGCACAGAGTTAATTTTGGATCCAGGTGAAGTCGAGAATGAAAAACTACACATTATGAAAGATTTTTGTTTTTAAATACATATACTTGACTGCTGACCCCCGGAGTCAGCTGATTCCACTACCTTGGTTTCAATGTTTTGGTATCTTTAGGCAATTCCAGCCAATTGACTGGAATCACCTGAAGATACCGAAAGGTCGAAACCAAAGTAGCAGAATCAGCTGATCTAATTTTTATATTTAAAAGCTCTACATGTTAAATTTTAATTTTTTTTTTATACATGTATTGATCACTTTTTTTATATGACTGTTTCCTGGACTAATTCAACTCTACCATGTGTGTGTGTGTATATATATATATATATATATATATATATATATATATATATATATATATATACACACACACACAGAAAAAAAGTAACATTTTTTATTTATTAACTTTTATTGAACAAAAATAAATTAGAGTAGTTTAAGAAAATTTATAAGTATTATCACATCAAAGCAACATTATTTTTTAGGATTAACAAACTACTTATGTCCAAAATGCTCAAATTCATGTTCAATACAACACTAAACCCTATCATCAATGCTTTTACAAACAATTTGAAATTAATTCTACATTAATTTAAAAAATATCAGTAATTGCTAGTTTCAATTCAGGAAATATTTTCAGTTTTAGCCTGTAAACAAGATCTTTCAGAAAAAGTTCTGTAGTGTTAGGTCTGGTGATGGCTACTCAATTGTTCCATGTTGTCCTATCCACCTCGGCTCAAAATTAAGATTTAGCCTTTCTCAAATGTATAAGCCATAGTTAATCTTAAGCCATCTCTAAACTACTGTAATTTATTTTTTCTCTAAAGTTACTAAATAAAAAAGGGCATTACTTATTTCAGTTTTGGGTATGTTACAATGACTGCAGCATTGGAGAATAGATAGAATTAATTATTTGATTCATCTTTCTTATAGAAAATTGCCACTTTGCATCTGATTGGTCAACGATCTGTGAACTCATATCCAGATTGAGAACAAATCTTATCTTTGATTGGTTGATCAGAACATGACTTCACAGCCTATCAATTCTTGAATATATATCTATTTTTAGAGAGGGTGAAATTTTGCTCTCAATGTTATTATTTTTATTTATTTATTTATTTTTTTTTTTTTTTTTGGTCACTACATGCTCTCTGGTCTTCTTCAGATGTCTGTCAATTTGTATAACCTTCTGGAAATTTTTAACCGAACACTTTATTTAATCTTTAGGGGTAGATTGTTCTGTTCTTCATGTCTATTACAGGCCCAGACTTGGTGAAAACAGAATTTGCAATAACTGAGCAATACTAAAAAGAGAAGACAATGAGATGTTCTTAGACATGGAGAGCAGAAAGAGAATAATTTACTTCCCATAGATTAAATAGAGGATTCTGTTTAAAATTCCCTGAAGATTATCTTGATCAACAGATGTGAAAAAAACAGGGGGCATAATACCCAAAATGTGGTGGTAATAACAATAATAATAACAGTAATAATAACAATAATAAAGCCACAATTTTATGAAGTTTGGATAAATGTGCTAATGCCACAATTTTACAAGGATCACTACAACAAACTTCCTCTATTAGCTTAGACCCTGGGGTAACAATCAAAGATTTAGAGCAAGAAGAAGCTTATAAGTACTTTGGTATAAGTGAAGATGAAGGGATTCACCATAAAAAAGTAAAAGAAATAGTGCAAAGAGAGTACTATAGAAGTGTGTGACTGATATTAAGAATTGAATTGAATTTTCAGAACAGAATTATAGCCATTAATAGCCTTGCCATCCCAATGGTTCAATATAGTTTCAACATCTTGAACTGGACTCTAAATGATATCAAACAAATGGATTCTATGATTAGAAAGATACTTTCTAAGCATAATATGCCTCACCCAAAGGCTGTTTATACATACCCCATAAAAAGGTGGAAGAGGTCTTATTCAGCTAGAATTGTCATACAAGACAGTAACTATTGTCTTACAGACATACATGGAAACAAGAAGGGACTGGATGATGCAATTAGTCAAACAACATAAAAACAGAAAGAAAAAATATTCAATAATGAAAGAAGGTTGTAAATACAAATGAAACATTTAGTAGATTCTACAGAAAACCAAAACAGAACCCAAGAACCAACTGTTAAAAGGATAAAGCTCTTGCACAGATGAAACAATGCTGATAAGACAAACCTCTGCATGGCCAATATCCAGAACATAATAATAAAGTCAATGTTGATAAAGTTAGCACTCATCAATGGTTATGACTATCTGAATTAAAGGCTGAAAGAGAAGGCTTTATTCTTGCAGTGCAAGACCAGAATCTGTTCACTAGAAACTTTCAGGCAAATATACATAATAGTGTTGATCCAAAATACAGGTTCTATGATAAATATCAGGAAACCATAGACCATTTAATCTCAGGATGTTCTGTACTTGCACCAAATGAATATAAAAATCATCACAATAGAGTAGGGCAATACTTACACTGGACAATGTGCAAACAGTTTGGAAAAG